TTATTTATTGGCACCGAACATTAAGTCCTAATAGAAATGCTAATAAGAATAGGAAATCCTTCTAAATAAGTAAAAACTATTTTCCAATTCTAACTATTAAATAGAATACTGATATTCCTTAGTAATGCTAAAAGCCATGAATAATCATATAACTTTAAAATACTATCCCTATTATTTCTTTCTTCAATCTCCATCATTCTTCCCTGGGTACTTTGACCGTGAGCTTGGATGAGTTGAAGCAGTTGTAGCAAACACTACATGAACTTGAATAACATGCACAACTAGAAGTAACATTTATGTGATCGCTACCTTTTACTCAACAATTTAGGAAATATGATATCTTCTCAATTATAATACTGAATTTAGAGGGCATGACGAAGTCAATCTAATTGACCTCTTCTTTAGATTCTTGAACGGTGGAATCTTCAATTTGTGAGTGTTAAAAACTTTTTTGTACAAGTTCTGTTTTTTCAACTCCTGTATTCTCAAAATGGTTCTCATGTTGTTCCTTCACAATCTCAATTTTATCTCACAGGCTCGCTACGATGTCATTGTCATTTGCATCCATCAACTCATTTTACATTATGTATCAGTTTTCCTGCTCTTCCACTTTGAGGGTTACTAGATTTGAAGTTACTTGTTGCATTATTTTGTGCTTTGCTTCACAAGCTTGTTATCTTGTTTACTCTTGAATGCCATAACAGATTTTACCCTTTCTGCTACATGTTTCATTATGTTTAGCAGGATCCCCTTCCGCCCCTTTTCTGTTACTTCCATCTTCTTTTGTCGGTCCTAGAAAAGATGTTGTATCTGTTACTTCCATCTTCTTTTGTCGGTCTTAGAAAAGATGCTACATTTGGGTCTATAGTGACTTTGTAATTTTTCAAAGGAGCTTGACTATATACTATTTGACTTGTTTTGAAGGGTAGACAGCATCAACAAAACACACATTATTGCAGTGCATTTGAACTTTTGGAACTTATTTGCATTGAATATCCATAAACACAGGCACCATGAATCTGAACTTTAGCTAGGGCAGCATATCTTTGAGATTTGAATTGGAAAAAAGCTAGCTCTTCGAACATGAATATCTCATTCACGTTGTCCTTGCTACATGTTTTGTGCCACACATCATATGTGATTTGAATGAACTCAGCTTACTTCATTCCTGAAGAACTCTCGTTCTCCAATTATAATCAATCTTTTCTTTTACATAATATTGATGTTAATTAAGGGAAGATTGAATAAAAGCAATCGTGATATAAGTCCTATGAATGTAGGAATTTATTATGACTCCTTACATTAATCCATAATTAGTCCTATGCATACAAGATGATATTACACAGATTGAACTGTTTGATGTCCGTGTATCATGCATATATGTGCTTTGATTGGTCATCTGAATTCCTCTTTCTCCACTAACTATCTTACATGAGTGATGCTATCATGAAGTTCTTCATCTAAATGAAACCCTCACAATGATTGATTTGAATTGCAGATATGCAAGACATCCTGCTTTGCTGGGAATTGAGCTTTTAAATGAACCATCTTCCTCCTTGGTTCCCATGGAAGTTTTAGTTCCATATTACAAGCAAGGCTATGAAATTGTTCGAAAATACTCCTCTACGGCTTATGTAATAATTTGCCAAAGAATTGGCAATGCAGATCCAATAGAACTTTACCAGGCGAATATAAGCTCTCATAATTTAGTTGTGGATTTGCATTTTTACAATCTTTTTGATACTTACTTTGTTAATATGAGCACTATGGATAACATAGATTTTGTATACAAGAGCAGGGCAGCTCAATTACAGGCTCTGAACAGTGCAAATGGCCCGCTTGTTTTTGTTGGTAAGGCGAGATCTCCATCCTGTTCCCCTTGTGGAAAGAAAGGAAAGAAAAAGAAAAACAGTTGGAAGGAGTCGATTATAAATATCAAAACATAGATAAGAATTATTTATGTTGAGTAAACATCAAATGGATTTATTGAAGCCACTTTTTTTTTTAAACACAATGATATGGATTTATTGAAGCCACTTTTTTTTTTTTTAAACACAAATGGTGCATCTGAATTTTTGAACCTAATTAGGTGATTTTGAATTGTGTTGGTTTCAGGGGAATGGGTGAATGAGTGGAACGTGACAACTGCGTCTCAGACAGCTTATCAAGATTTTGGTAGAGCACAACTTGAGGTTTATAGTGCAGCTTCCTTTGGATGGGCATATTGGACTCTCAAAAATGACAGAAAGCACTGGGATTTTGAATGGAACATTAGGAACAATTATCTCCGGCTGGGTAAAATTAGTTCATTTTTGTTCTGTATTCTGCCTCCACCTCAAATGTTTTCTTCTCTCATGTTATAGATAGAAGAACGACACACTTCTGTTCTCCCCTTGCACACACGAGCATACAGGTGCACCTATCTTGAGTACAAATCATTACTGACAGCATCTGAACTATCCGGTGCAGGTAAATCAACTACCAGGAAAATTTATGACAAGTTAGTATTGCTAGGATTGATTTCTGCCTGGATCTTTCTGGTTTGAATACTATAATGGATAACTGAAGAGTCGAAAGAGGAAGATCCACTGGCGACAAGTTAGTATTGCTAGGATTGATTGCTGCCTGGATCTTTCTGCTTTGTTGTTTTTGTCATCGAGTTTTTGTCAATATTCATTCATTTGTTATGCCAATTTGCAAGGTCATAAATACTGTAAGACCAAAGAGTTTCCACAGGAAGTGTGGACGGTCCTGTAAAAGCATGGAAGCTGCGAAGTGTTCTCATTCTGAATAAAATCACTCTTTTGCTTGTTCTCTACAGCCATTTTTTGTATATTAAAATACACTCCCTTGACCACTTGGCCAACTGTGAAACACCCTAGAAAAAGCACAACCAAAAACCCAAAGTATGATAATGGAAAGTTAGTGAATCCCATGATTTCTCCGATCATTGTTCAAGGAACTGCTATTCCAGTGGCAGAGTTCACAACAGTTGAATAGATTACAGGCAATGGCGATAGCTCCTGAATGAAAGAGATTTTCTCTGTTCGAACTAAGTTGAAAATTAGGGTTTACATAGCAAAGCCTTCAATAAACAAACAAAAACGGGAGGATTTGGCGTCCAATATGTTGTAATCTCTGTACTAGCACCACAGAAAGTAAAGGCTCACCAGATCATAGAGAGTACACATAGGGCCGCTCCATAATATGAAGACGGGCAAACCTTTCCCAGACCATTTCTGAGGGTCTTTACACAATCTTCTTCCAACTTGTGCCGTGGGAATGCGTTTTCACCCGCACAATGAATCAAGGCTTGTGCAAGGAGCTGTCTTGGAGTCGGTGGCTCAAATTCCAGCAAGATAATCAAATCAGGAGAGACATTTTTTTCCCTTTTCTTTTTATAAATGTTTTAAATCATTTTGATATTTGATATTAAAAATAAATTTTGAAACAATAAAAAAATAATATTTATATATATTTTTAAGTAAAGAATATTTTTAAAAATAATTAAAGTATTACATTTGTGTATAAATGCAGAGAAACGGGCACCATACAAACGTTTTCAAAGGAAATTGGAGAGAATAGTAATAATTATTTTTTAAAATATTTTTAGTTGGAAAATAAATTAAAATAATTGTTTTATTTTTTAAAATTATTTCTATATTAATTTATCAAAATAATTTTAAAATATTATAAAAATTTAAAACAAAAAATAAATTAACTTTTTTTAAAATATTTTTGAAACTAAAAAAAATTCTGAAGGTTGACGTACGTGCTAAAAAACTAAGGAAAAAGCTAAGTGGTTCCTTTTCTAGCTTAATAGCTTATTTAAATTTGTGGTTGTTATTATTTTTTAAATAATTTTTTATATTAAAATATATATTAATAATATTTTTTATTTTTTAAAATTATTTTTGATATTAATATATCAAAATAATTTAAAAATATTAAAAATATATTAATTTAAAATTAATAAAAAATAAATTTTTTTAATTTTTTTAAAATATTTTTAAAATAAAAAAACAAGGACTAAAAACTAACAACTTGCCATTGTAGACGCGCGCAGGCTCTGTACACGGATTAGATCTAAATTCTGATTAGAGAGAGAAGTGGAAATGCATAGATGTAATATTTTTTAATTTTGAAATATAATAATATTTTAATGGATTTATTATAATATAATGTGGAGGGACTAAGAGTCATATTCTTCAAGAATCTTACAGAGACAGTCCATCTGATCTGATCAACATGTATGGTTAAACGTATTTGTATGACTATAGATGCAATATTTTTTAATTTCCGAATATAATAATCTTCCAATGAAGTTATTAATCACAACATGACGTGTATACACGGTGAATGAAGAGTCATATTCTTAAAGAATTGTACAGAGATAAAAGGAGTGTTATTATTTTTTAAAATATATTATTTTTAATACTTATTAAATAATATTTTTTTTAAAATCATTTTTAACAAATTAAAATAATATATATTTTTTTTAAAGTCTGGTGGTCTGCAGTGATCTGATCAATATGCATGGTGGAATCAAATAATTCCAAAAGAAAGTGCTGCGGTGTGCAATGACCTCAACGTCTGCATGATTATTTTGGTTCTCTCGATTGTAGAGAAACCAGCCCCACATAAATAAATGTACCTGCAGAAATGACAAGGGTTTGGTTCTCTTGTGACAGCGAAAGACGTGAGGTAACATCTTTGCTTCAGTATCTTAGAGCTTGTTTATATAGTATTTTCTGTTTTCCATTTTTGTTTATAATAGCCAAAAAGACTTGTTTTTTTTTCCCTAATATAAAATATGAATAATTAATTATCAAAATATTATTTAAATCAAATAGAATTGTTTAAAAAATTGAGTCTGTGTTCTGCTGTGGTTCTTGATTTTCCTTACGAAATAAATAAATAAATATTTTTTTTCCTATTTTACTATGTATGATTTTGTCTGTTCTGTATATAGAACAAATACAAACCATTCAGTTTAGAATTAATAATAATATTGTGTATGGATCAAAAAGGAAGCCATATAGTCTAAGTTCCTTGAAAGCTTGGAAAACTTGTAGCCAGCCAAAGGGATCTCTCTGTCTCCCCCTCTCTGCATCAATTGCTATCCTAAATTAGCAGAAACATTTCCAAGAAGATAGAAGGAGATGTCTGGTAACGGTGCTGTCCTGGATAACCAGGAAGCAAAGGTTCCTTTGTTGCAAGGTTTAGAGGAGAAAACTAAACGAGATGATGATATTGTTGTTCAAGATCTTGCATGCCGGGTTGGGGTTGAATCAAAGAAGCTATGGCAAATAGTAGGTCCAGCAATCTTTAGCCGTCTCACCTCTTACTCCATGCTTGTCATCACCCAAGCTTTTGCAGGTCATTTGGGTGACCTTGAGCTTGCTGGTATCTCCATTGCCAATAATGTAATTGTTGGCTTAGACTTTGGCCTCTTGGTATGCTAGACTCGCTCTCTATTTCTCTGAAATTCTTTGTTTACTTTCTTCTGTTGTTTTTTCTTGTTCTTAATTTACCTGACTTAACTAATATTAATGATGGGTGATTTTGTTTAATTATGATATCACAGTTGGGGATGGCAAGTGCGTTAGAGACACTCTGTGGGCAAGCTTTTGGAGCAAAGAAGTACTATATGTTGGGAGTATACATGCAACGTTCATGGATTGTGTTGTTCATTTGTTGTATTTTGCTTTTGCCCCTCTACCTCTTTGCCTCTCCAGTCTTGAAGCTATTTGGCCAACCTAATGATATAGCAGAACTTTCAGGGAAAGCTGCTGTGTGGATGATTCCACTTCACTTCAGCTTTGCCTTTCAGTTTCCCTTGCAGAGATTCTTGCAGAGCCAGCTTAAGAACATGGTAATTGCATGGGTGTCTTTTGTAGCTCTGGTGGTTCATATCTTTATCAGTTGGCTTCTTGTGTATAAGCTTCAGCTTGGAGTTGTTGGGACAGCCATGACTTTGAATTTTTCTTGGTGGGTTTTGGTTTTTGGTCATCTAGGCTACACCATTTGTGGTGGCTGTCCTCTTACATGGACTGGTTTCTCCACCGAAGCCTTTTCTGGCCTTTGGGAATTCACCAAACTCTCCGCTGCTTCTGGGGTCATGCTCTGGTGATTCACCTCCCTCATCTCTAGCCATACGTGTGCCTGTTAATTAAATATATATTTTTCTTCTTGGATCTCACAAATGGCCTTTTGTTTTTTGCTATTAACCAGCTTGGAGAATTGGTATTATAGAATCCTCATCTTAATGACCGGGAATCTAAAAAATGCAGAAATTGCTGTGGATGCTTTGTCTATATGGTATTATCATTTACCTTTTGTATAATTTTATTTTAATTATTCAATTTAATCAAGTATTAATATATATTTAACAGGTATGAGGGTTTTTTTTTGGCAGCATGACCATAAATGGCTGGGAGATGATGATTCCTCTTGCTTTCTTTGCAGGAACCGGGTAATTAAATTTTTCCGTGTTAATTCCATGATTTAATCTTGAAAAATTGAAAAAGATAAGCAAAATCTCTTGAACACGAATGAAAATGAATATTATTTTGTTTTCAGCGTTAGCTTTTTTTATTATATTCCCCCATAATAATTTATATAGAAAAAGTTTTTGAAGGGACCATCATTTTAAGAGAAGCGTCTTCATATTTTCTTCGAAGTCATTATTTTACGTCTCATACCTGACTTTCATCACATGAGATCACTATTTTAAACAAGTAGTGATTAGTATGAGTAGTTGACTGAAAAAGTCGGTTGTTTTTTTATTTATATATATAAATTATAGTTTTTTTAATTTAAAAAAGTTATAAAATATTTGCAAATTATAATGTATTAATTAATCAAACATTTTTAAATTTATAATAATAGCAAAACATAATCTGCATTATATCATAAGAGCAAGTGATTATTTGATATTAAATTATAGTTTCTGCGTTTTAAAATATTTTATATTTTAAAAAATATTAAATTAATATAATTTTAAGTTTTTTTTTGTAATTTTAATATATTGATGTGAAATTTTAATACATTTTTTACGTAAAAAAAGCAATTAATACATGAGGTGGATGATTTGACTAGGATCACGCCAAGAAGTAGAAAGGTCTCGAGCGGTGGCTCCATGTCAGGATGATTTTTCTCTTTTTCATATCAAATTTTCCTACTGGAGCCGTGTTTCTGTCCACCTATCTCCTTTGTGGTCATGTTTTATTGTGGAAAAGAATCCAATAATTCAAATAGAAATCAAATAATTGTGCCGTTTTCGTTCACTTAAGACATGTCTTTGATGTACAAAGGGACAAAAACTCATACACTGTAAGAGGTTGTCAATTGGCAATGAAATTGTGCTCACGACAAAATAGGTCATAGAAAAATTGTCTAAATCCAAAAGCATCACTGTACAAGCTTTGGCTGCCTTATATTCTCCACCTAGCTTTTTTCTCCCGTATGAAACATCTTCTCCCACTAATCAAAACTCCCCGCCAGCAAACGGTGAAAATCATAGACTAGGAAGCAGTGTTTTGCTTGTGTGGTTATCCAGTACTGTTTTTTTAAATATTTTGAATTATTCAGATATATTGTTTAAAATAAAAATCATTTTGAAAAATAATCTTCACAACAATCTTAAAGCATGCACCAGGAACAGTGGTATGGCGGTCGGCCCTTAATCCTACTTGAGGAGATTTTTTTTTTTTATTCGCAATTATAAAGTATACATCCTTCAGACCAACTTGTGCAATTCAAAACAAAGGAACTACTGACTTGCAAACCGGATTAAACTGTAATTTACCCGTTTAATTAAATTGCAGAGTAAGGGTTGCAAATGAGCTTGGAGCTGGGAATGGGAAGGGTGCCAAGTTTGCTACAATTGTGTCAGTGACAACATCAGTTATCATTGGCCTTGTCTTCTGGCTACTGATAATGTTCTTCCACGACAAGTTAACCTGGATATTTACTTCAAGCGAGCCTGTTCTTGAAGCAGTTAACAAGCTCTCAATCCTCTTGGCGTTCACAGTCTTGCTTAACAGTGTTCAGCCAGTCCTCTCAGGTTACTTGCATCCATGCATGCTTTAATCACATTTTTATCTGATTTTTAATTATAGCCATGTTCTATCACCATGCTTTAACTTGTTAATTTCCTGCAGGGGTTGCTGTTGGTTCAGGATGGCAAAAGTACGTGGCATACATAAACCTAGGTTGCTACTATGCTATTGGAGTTCCTCTTGGATTCCTCATGGGATGGATCTTTAACCAAGGAGTTATGGTACGTTCACGTTGCTATGCTATATTTCAATATATTTTCAAGAAAAAAATATTATAATATTTTATATTGTAATGCTAAACACGTAACATTGTAATACCAAACACAGTGGAATGTTGGTCTCAAAATTTACACAAAAAATACAAAGAGTTTATGTTCGTGTTTGGTATTACATATTTTTTTATATGAATAAAAAAAATAAAAAATAAACCATATTTCCAAACCAAACACTCTCATGCATATAGACTATCTAGTCTATTCCCCAACCCTATAAATGGATATTTATCAAACTACCCCATAAATGGATATTTATCCAACTAGGCTGGATCGGATATCCCACCATTCATATTCAACCCATTATCATTCATTTTTAAATCTAATTTGATGATCGATTGAGATGGATTAATTTTTTTTATTTTATAAAAAACTGATAATAATAGCATTTTAGAATTTTTTTTTAAAGTCAAGTTTTGACCGAGTTTTTTTAGTGTTGATCGAGGATCACTGTATCAATCCTTCTCTATTTTTTTTATTAAAACCTGGCCTGGCTTACGTCCCTGAGCACAATGCATAAGACTGGTCATGGGCATCTAACCATCTGTGATATTCTTTCGACTATTACCCGAAAAAACCATCAGTGATGTTAATTCTACCATTGTCTGTGAACTGAAAACACATGATCGATCAGGGAATTTGGGCTGGGATGATCTTCGGAGGGACAGCAGTTCAAACACTAATACTGGCCATCATTACCATTCGATGCGACTGGGAAAAGGAGGTAGTTTTTCATTGAAGACCAGTAATTGTTTTTCTTCTACTTCTTTCTGCTGTACAGCAGTACTGATGATCTCTCTCGCCATTGTTTAATTAGTAGTTTGATTTATTCTACTTTGTTGACGTTTGCAGGCAGAGAAAGCAAGCCTGCATGTATTGAAGTGGTCAGAAGCAATCTAAAGACGGAAATAATTAATTTTAGACGATCGAGTACATCATCAGCTTGTTTCAAGGGATCTCGATGCATAGGTCCCGACGGCGCTCGAGAGTTCTAACTTGGCAGTCAAGACTTCATTTCTTTGGTTAGCATGGTGCTCTATGTATTTAAATTTAAATAAATAACCAAAATGATATATTATTATGAAATTCTTGGTATTAGTTCTGGTCCAAAAAAAACCTGGCCCAGACTTAATGCTCGAATTTAATAGGTTACAAGGAGACTTATCGTGAACAATCTATTACAATTATTGACAAATATTAAAATAAAAAAGAAACTATAAAGAGCATAATATAAATGTGGTTCGGAAATGTGACTGCATGTATGGAAAGAAGAAATTCTAGATTCTTCTAAACCGTACAAGAAATTCCAATAGTTTAAAGAATATTATTAATTTTAATATGCTAAAGTAAAAAAATAAAAAAAATAAATAATATTTTTAAACGTAAAATAATTTTAAAAAATATTTCATTTCATGATATAGAATACACTAAAAAAATAGGAATTATTTTGTAGAATTTTTTTAAAATAATAAAAATTATTTGTAAAATATTTTTTAAGTTGAAATATAGTAAAATAATTTTTATTTTTATTTTTTAAATTTTATTTTTAATATTAATACATTAAAACTATTTAAAAACATAAAAATAATCAAATATTCTTTTTAAATTTTTTTTTTTAAAACACCTGAAAGTCAAAGCTGCCGGCTGAACTTGATGGACTTGAAGTTGTCACATCATTGTTTTACTCTTCCTGATGGTCAGAAAATTTTCTCATCATTCTTTTACTCTTCCTAAACTCAAGTGGCAATAAGAAATGCATGTTCGGTAAAGTTTTCACATCATTCATATATATATATTAAAAAATACTTTAAAAAATAAATCGTAACAATCCTCCTACCATCACCAGACTTGTAAGATCATAGATGTTTAGGAACTTGTGGGTTACTAGGACAAGTTACTTTACCCCAAGAAAGATAAAGAGGAAAAACATGAACCTTTAACTTGGAGCATCAAACCCTGTGGAACTGGTGCTCACAAAAATGTGCACCAAATTAGCGGTGCCTCCAGCATCAACCATGAGCACCATGTTGTGGCTTGGGTTGGTGAGCACAGACCCCTATGCTAGGCGTCCACCTATGACTCTGTACATTTCTTTCTTATATTTGTGGGTTTTCCTAGTTGAACGCCATGAATACAGCTACCAGTTCATATCTCATCTCACACCAGATGAACCACCATTATGGCACCTGGCCTCACCCAATCATGAATTCAAGCACGCTGCGGGGAGGGTTGATGATAATAATATTTGAGGAGAGGTTTTCAAGCATACTCATTGGAAGCTATCTAATACACCACAAGCTTATGTTTATGCATGCCCCTGTTTCCACTTTACATCATAACAAATTGCAAACTTCTTGGATATGGCATTGTTGCAAAAAGAAATTATTGGAAAATAAATTTATTCCACCACCTGCAATGCTGGTGGGTAAATTATGGCCAAGTTTATGAATTCAACAAATAATCTATCGCTACAAAACCAGTTACAGATGCCCTGGGAAGCGAGCAAGAATTGCTAGGCTGAATCCTTGTAAATTTATTACAAGCACGCCTTGTGATTGTGTAAATTGGCGCCAAAATGCTTTACACTACCTGATTCTCTTTTGGAGTTTGTATTATTTTGGTAGCTTAAAATGAACATACAAGCTAACCAAGAATCTTCTCTGGCTTGCGTTCTGTTCCTTTGGTGAACTTTGCAAACTTTAAATTTCTCAATTTCACGGTATAGAGCCGGAGGGCTGACTAATTTAGACAAAGTCAGGCTGGCCGGTTGAAGTTAAGCAACGATGCCACATGCGGCTGTTAGGATCCACAGCTCTGGGATAAGAAATGACTTCCGGGATTGGGAAGTAAACATAATGAGTGTTGCATATTCCGACAGTGATTCCACTATATCCAGCAAATGCACCATGAACCTGCCATAACCATACATCTATATCAGCCATGTATTAATGAAGTGAAAAATCATTGGTGGCGTGGGGGTAATATTGAGGGTCTTCATGCTGATTTTGCAAATATTACAGGTACTAAGTCATGGTAACATGTAGACAAAATAATTTACACGCATTCGCCATATAGTGGAAAGGATACACGGATAATTTTCCTTGGATATTCAATTTTGAAGTAATGCTCCAATAGTTTTTATGGAAAATAAAGTTCCAAAAGTTATAATCAGAGAGAGAATATTATTAGAAAAACTACAATGCCAAGTTGTATCGGAGATACAAATTTGGTAGAGCTAAAAACATGATTCAATGATTTCAGTAACTGTCTCAACAAGATGCAAACTTAATCAAGTTGATTATTCCACATGCAACGCACAAAGTGGAAAATTGTTTTGCTAGTTTATTTTATGGAAAACAAAATATCTATCTTCTGTCTTATTTATCAATTATGAAATAAAGGAAATACTCAAATTGAGTGAAGAAGGGAGACTCACTGCATTTTGTCCAAGAACAGTACATAAAATTCCATCTGATGCATTTGCACGGCACGCACGTATCATGTATGTTGGGTCAATATACTTTACGTCAGCATGAACGCCAATCTCCTTAAAATATTTTCTTGTCTGGCAAAAAAAAAAAAAAAAAGCATTGAATTAGTAACACTGTCATACCAGATCAACCCAAAACCTTTTGCAAATGCATAACAATCAAGATTCCCTTTACAAATGCATAATAATTGAGATCTCTGAAGGAAATAGTCTCCCCAAAAAATAACAGAAAACATGAGTCGTTTGTTGATTAGTCAAGATTTATCAAAATATGACATTTCCTGGCGAAAGGAAGATTAATGATGGGAAAGGAAGAAAAACAAAAATGAGAACTACTGTTTGACTATATAGGAACTATAATTTTCTATGGTTATTCAGTATTTTTACCATTTAGGAGACTTATAGTGTACCACTTAATAGTTAAATAGGTTTTAAAAGCAGTCTACTTTATTTCCAAATAGTAGGTTTACTATCTCAGGAACTGGTCCTTCTATGTTTTGATTTTCATACATTTGGTTTTCCATTTCTATTTCGCTTGATGCTTATCAATAAGCACTTGAGGTCAAGACATTCGAGATGTGCTTTGATTTTTTAATATTTTGATTTTCTTCAAAATTTGGTTCTTGGGTTTGTGTTCTTTTTGTTCATCAACTAGTCTGCTCGGATTCAAGAAGCACACCTTCTAGATTTCAAGAATTTATCCTAGTGGATTCCAGGTTAATCTATCCTTTTCCCTTTATTCCTTCACTTGTTCTAAATCAATTGGTATTGTTCTACATAATTTGCAATCTGAATCCAAACAGAAACCTAAAACCTTGAAAAACTAGGCTAAGCAAACTCCTAATTTCCTGGTGCCAAGAGCTAAGATGTTGTAGCTTCAACTATTGTGCTTTATTATTCTGCTCTCTTCTGGTAATGTTAGTGGTTTGAATTAGGTGAAATTGCTACTTGTTGTGCTGAGGGATTAAGGGCACATAGGCTTCTAAGAGCTGTATTTTTGCTCAGTTGTGTGGGCCAGTGTGAGGATGGGTAGTGCCATGCCGTTGTGCTTTTGGTATAAAATGTCACTTCCTATTCCTCTAGATTAGTGGAAAAAAAAGAAAGAAGGATTAACTTAGAGCTATTTCCAAGTAATTTGGATTTTGAATATTCGTGTGCTTTTATCATTATTTAGGAATATTTTATGTTGTATAATCTATTTCCTATTTTCATCAAGACTCAAGGGATCTTTGGTGTGCCTATGTAAGCACTCTATTCTATGTTTTTGAGGAGTTGTTTAGATTAAATGGAGAATCCTGTGAACTTAAGAAGATCACCTTGTGGATATCATAGATCTATCCCAAGGCAAGATAAAACAATCTCTGATGAAGAGACATTTTTTCTATGTGATAAAACAATCACCAAGTCAAAAGCAGTTATGATTATTGGATGTCTTCCTTTATTGACCGAAACTGGGATGACAAAACATGCAGCAAAAAATCAAAACCATCAAATAGCATGAGAAGGATGAATAACTGCTATTTCCACATTTGGCAAACGCCCTTTTAGTGGTTCTTATGAGAAAATGCATGCTGTTGAAAATCATGATAACTACACTATGTAATAACATCATTTACAGTTCAAGTAATTCAGTAGATAAAAAGCAAGAACTGTGAAAACAGTCCGTCCCCAAGTAAAAACCAGAGGATATCATAAGAGAATTTCAGAGACATAAGCCAGGCCATGTCAAAACTCACCAAGCTTGCAAATTAGTTTCTGGAGCAAAGAAATGCAATAAAGTAATGATAACTCAAGGAGGAGAAAACTCAAGGAAGAGTGTAGAGACGTGGGGCATGGACTCAGTCACACAAGATATGTCTTACTATGAAGCTTGCAAATAAGCTTCTGGAGCAAAGAAATGCCATAAAGTAGCGATAACTCAAGGGGGAGAAAACTCAAGGAAGAGTGTAGAGGCAAGGGACATGGACTCAGTCACACGACATGCGTCTTACTATGAAACTGATCATGTTCAATGCATAACTTCATATATACATGACTTGGATGAAGTCAAATAAGGGAATAACTACAACCCTAACAGACTTGATAATGAACAACTTTGATTAATAAAAAAAGGAACTCAAATGAAATGAAATAATGAAACAGTAAGCATATTCCAAGTAACTCTGCCTGTGCTAGCTCAGGTTAGAATAGCCAGTCCCAAGCCCTGTTAAAGGGAGATGGTTACTGTAGGTTGATAGCCAGAATTAAACCTTGTCCAACAAAGGACATCAGGCGCCCTAGTTCAGAGAATTGACAAGTTGGCAGTAGTAGGGAGGAAAGGTGAAGAGGGAGACCTAAGCTAACATAGACGGAAGTCAAATCAAAGGAGCTAAGATCTATTGATGTTGAGGTGGATTTGGCATATGATTGCCTAGATGATGTGAGGATCCATAAAGTTGACCTTAACTAGTTTGGGATTGAGGCTTGGTTATTGTTGTATGCATATTCCATGTAATAAACAGTAGGGTTCAATCAAAGAAGGCCAAAGAATTCTCATAACCAGGCAAGTGACACTTATAAGCCAAAACAGACTTTAGTCATATTCATGTAAGACCACCAAGATGGTTAA